CATCAATCTGATACCATATATATATATATATTAGAAATGATTTGGAAAATATTTGAACACCTGGTCTTAAAATATTTTGTTCATCATATTAAAATAAAACGTTCCATAATCAATTTTTTTTCTTTTCTTTTCTTTTTTCAATTTTTCCAATATTTCGGGAAAAAACAAAAAGGCTTTGGGAAAAAAACATTCCCCCCCCCGAATTTTTCCGGTTTTTTCCCGGGCCTTCACATCTCTGGCCACAGGTCAAATTAAGCTCCGGAGTTAGGTGTTGACCGAGGTGTTAGGTGTTGACCGAGATGCACGAACGCTGGTGGGTGATCTGCCCGTACCCTTTTGGGTGGGGGGACCACTATGGGAGGCTCATAATTTGCTAGACGTATTCTGGTGCTCAACTAGAGCAGAAGGAACAGAGTTTGGGAGAGCACGGAGGTCGTTTCAGAGAGGGCGGCTATGTTGGTCTGCACTAGGACAGCACCGAACTCCAGTAGCACCTTAGAGGCCAACAAGGTTTTGCGGGGATGAGCAAGAGCAACCTTCTGACAAACTTGACCAAAAGTAAGCTTGCCGTTCTAGGCAAGAGTGAGATTAAGAACATAAGAACATAAGAGACGCCAATGTTGGATCAGGCCAAAGGCCCATCCAGTCCAACACTCTGTGTCACACAGTGGTCAAAAATACCAGGTGCCATCAGGAGGTCCACCAGTGGGGCCAGGACATTAGAGGCCCTCCCACTGTTGACCCCCCCCCCCCAAGCACCAAGATACAGAGCATCACTTGCCCCAGAGCCCCTATCTATTTTTGTTGTTGTTCAGTCGCACAGTCGAGTCCGACTCTTCGCGACCCCATGGACCAGCTCCCTCCAGGCCCTCCTGTCTTCCGCCGTCCTCTGAAGTTTGCTCAACTTCATGTTCGTTGCATCGATGACACTGTCTAACCATCTCATCCTTTGCCGTCCCCGCCTTCTTTGACCTTCAATCTTTCCCAGCATCAGGGTCTTCTCCAGGGAGTGCTCCCTTCTTCTCATTGGGTGGCCAAAGTATTTGAGCTTCAGTTTCATTATCTGGCCTTCCAGGGAACAGTCAGGGTTGATTTCTTTGAGGATTGACTGATTTGTTCTTCTTGCAGTCCAAGGGACTCTCAAGAGTCTTCTCCAGCACCATAGTTCAAAAGAATCTATTCTTCGGTGCTCGGCCTTCCTTATAGTCCAACTCTCGCAGCCATACATGACTACTGGGAATACCATCGCTTGGACCATGCGGACTAAGAGCCACTGATTCAAGTCCAGCAGGATTCAAGTCCAGCAGGACCTGAGGGACCCACAAGGCCTTTGGGCTACGAGCTTTCAAAAGTCGAAGCCTCCCTTCTTCGCGTAGGCTGGAAATCTAATGAAAGGAGCTCATATCCTGAAAATCTCATTGCACTCCAGTCTAGCTCATCTCCTGCAACCGACAGGACTGCTCTTTTGAGCTTGCTTCCTTGGCACGTCTCTCTGCCTCAAGTAATGTTCCGGGGCCCTGCTTTGTATTTCCCCCTCCCCAAAATGTTTGAAGTTGCAGGAAGGGCCTTTTTAGTGGTACAGCCTCCTACGTGGGCGTCCCCTCCCCGGCGAGTCCCGCCTGGCCACATCCTTAGTGGAGTTCAGAAATTGTTATCTTTGAGGACATCGGGGACGGCGGAGAATGAGTTGCCACACGTTTTGTGCTTTTGCTGCGTTCTGTCTGCAGGCATTTGTGTTTTCTTTGTTGGAAGTCATCTTGAGGATGATGAAGGTAGACAAACAAAAAAGTGAACCCTGCGATAGGGTTGCCAACTCCGGGTTGGAAAACTTCTGGAGGTTTGGGGGTGGAGCCAGGGAGGGGCGGGGTTTAGGGGAGGGGCGGGATCTCAGCAGGGTGCAGGCATTTTCTGGGGGCGGGGAACAATCTGTCAGCTCGCTGCCATAAAGGCTGGTGTGGAGGGGGAAGGGGTTATTTGGAATGTTACTTTCGCTTTCTTGCTGTCTGGGTGATGCTCCCTTATCTGTATGGTTTGTGTGTATGACCTTGGTGTTCCTAGTTGTAACCAGTGTTCCCTCTAAGCTGAGCTAGTGTGAGCTGGCTCACAATTTTTTACCCTCCGGCTCACACATTTTTGTCTCCTCTCAGGAAGGAGGGCTCCAGAGCAAACTAACGTATGCAGCAGCCAAATTGCTGGCTCACAACATTAATGCCAGTAGCTCAAGAGGCAAAAAAACTGTGAGCTAGCTCACACTAACTCAGCTTAGAGGGAACACTGGTTTGTAACATCATCCTCTGGGAACGAGGGGCCGTTAGATTCTGGCGGGCCCCGCTTCTTACCTTGATGGGCTCTCTGCCGCCCAGTGACCCTCTTTGAACCCTGTATATCTGTCCATCCGGCGCTTTTTGCTCTAGTCTTAACACAGATCCTGAAGTAGAGACGCTCTGCCAATACTGATCAATAAACAAGTCGTTGATTCTGATTGTTGCAGGAGTCTGACACAATCCCTCTCATCTAGAGATCAGCTGCAATTCCGGGAGATCTGGCGGCTGGCAACCCTACCTCTGTGTGTGTGTATTTAAAATCGCTCATTCTCCTTCCTTTCCTTCTCCCTCCCTCCAGATCGAGAGCCTCCCGCCCGAGCTCTTCCAGTGCAGAAAGCTTCGGACTTTGCACCTGGGGAACAACGTGCTGCAGTCTCTGCCTTCCCGGGTTGGCGAGCTGACGAGCCTGTCCCAGATAGAACTGCGGGGGAACCGCCTGGAGTGCCTGCCAGTGGAGCTGGGCGACTGCCCCTTGCTGAAGCGCAGCGGGCTGGTGGTGGAGGAGGACCTCTTCAATACCTTGCCCCTGGAGGTCAAGGAGAGGCTGTGGAGGGCCGACAAGGAGCAAGCCTGAAAGGAAACGCGGGGAAAACAAACGCCTCCCACCAAAGAGCCGCGGGAACTGCAGGCCTCCTTGTTCCCCGGGCTCTTCTTCCTCCCTCCCGCCCGATGCAACGAAAGAAGCCTCCCAGCCAAAACCAGACTCTGGCCGAGGAGGGCCACAGAAATGGGTAGCAGTGGGTTGGGAATGAGGCTGCCTTGGCTCCCTTGGAATGCAGGATGCGGGCGGGGAGGGCGGTCCAGGGTCAGGGAAGGCTCCCCGGAGGAGAGTGGGAGCAGGCACCAGTGGAGGCGGCCCTTCCTGGGACGGGAAGTTGGACGTTGTCGCGGCCAAGGAATGGAACTATTGCTAGCAGCACCGACTCCTAGCAAGCATCAGAGAAGAAGCTGCCTTGAGATCAACGTGGGGGGAGGGGAAGACAGAGGGTTGTCCCAATCCGGCTCCAGCTGCCTGCTGCTGTGTCGCCCCCGCTAGAACTCTGACCGGGAATCCAGTGTCTTAATGTCGTCTGTTCCAAGGTCAGGAACCCTGGTTCGACCCTCAACGCTACACAGCCCCACCGGCTTGGTTGCACACTAACTTCACCAATGTCTAATCCGTTAAGTCTTCTGGAGGAGCTAAGAGGGAAACGAGTCTTGGTTTTGTGTTGTGTGTTCGTTCGTTTTTTAAATTTTGATGCTGGCATCCCCCCGTTCCCATATCATGGATTTTACTTCTAGTCACTACATTAAAAAAACAGGGTTCTTTTTTTAAAACGAAGAACGTTCCAAAAAAGCTTTCCCTCCCTCGTGTGGTGTTCCCGAGGCCGGTGCGTTTCACCCTTCAGATCTGTGTCTCTTGATGCGTATCCTGCAGACGGACTGGACTGGACGACGGGATAATTTTATTGTTGTTGTTATTTTTGTGTCGCAACTCCAGTGTTGTTAGCTGGGCTGCGTTTCCATGGAATCTGAGATACGAAGGGTGCCGGATCTGCAGTATTTAATTCGAGGAGTCGCCTGTGGGGCTGGAAGGCATTTCGGAGGGTTTTATTTTTTTAGAACGATTTTAAAAAGTCCTCCCTTTTGGTCTTCTCCCTGAGTATTAGAGGCCGGTTCACAGCGATCCCGGGTGCTGGCGATCCTGGCACTCAGAAATGAGCACAGGTTTCGTCTATGCTTCCTTCAGGACCGTCTCCTTTCTCGAGGTGCCCTCGGCATCTTCCAACAGTTTCAAGCTGTCGTGTGTGTGTGCGCCCCCCCCCTCCCGTGTCGCGCTTTATGATTTCTATAGCAGCTGGTCTGTTATTGCCAGCTCACGGGCGGGCAAGGAATTCTTAGCTGTCGTTTGTCAGAGTTGTTCCAGCAGTGAGGGATGGTTGCCGATCCGTAGAGGATAGAGCTGAGCTGCTTTCCTCAGTCCCTCTTAATTCTTCAGTGTTAAAAGGTATTTAAAAAGCCCCTTCGCTCCTTGGGCTTTTTAGCTCCCCGTCGCAGGCATTCCTAGGAAAGGGAGCAAATCCACTTTGGAACCCGTAGAGTTTGCACTACAGTCTTACCTGCCCAGTGAAAGTGAAATGACTTAACAGCTACCAATCCTGTCCCAAAACGTATGGGAAAACCATAGTATACAGTTGCAACTAGTAATCGCTCTGTTCCGTCCAGGGAAGCCGCCGAGTCTTCCTTGAGGTGACGTGGGACCTTGGGGACGGAAGGGGAAATGCAGCAATCTTGAGCTGTCAGAACGAGGTTCAGCTTCGGCTAAACGAGCGTGGTGTTTTTGTAATGTCCCCCTCCCCATTTTTTAATGGTTCTGGCAGTTAAAAAGAAGGGGGGGGGAGCTGCTGCTACAGCTTCCCTTTCTTCTGCGGCGGATGTACTCCGAGAAGGACACACGCATAGTTAGCAATGCTGAAAACCCCAACCTGAAACAAAACCTGTTAACCAGGCTCTGGTATTGTCAATGTTTAAATAAAGCTATGTGGAAATCCCAAGCGAACTTGAGTCTGTTTTAAATGCAAAGAGAACATCCTGTAAAGTGGTGCTCTGCTCAAGAGTGAACATACGTATTTCGGACATACAGAACCATAGAGCTGGAAGGGACCTCCAGGGTCATCTAGTCCAACCCCCTGCACAATGCAGGAAATTCACAAATACCCCCCCCCCTCCCCATCTCCAGGGACCACTGTTCCATGCCCAGAAGATGACAAAAACCTCCAGGATTCCCAGCCAAACTGACCTGGAGAAAAATTGCTTCCTGACCCCAAAGCGGCGATCAGCATTTCCCTGGGCGGGTAAGGAAGGGCCACGAGAACTAAACACTGATGCAGCCCTCCCTGCCTTCCCTCTCGTGATCTGCCTCAGTTCACAGAATCCGCATTGCTGTCATGATGGCCACCTAGTAAAGGTAAAGGTCCCCTTGCTCGAAAGCCAGTCGAGTCCGACTCTAGGGTTGCGGTGCTCACCTCCGTTTCAAAGCCGAAGAGCCAGCGCTGTCTGAAGACGTTTCCATGGTCATGTGGCCAGCATGACTAAACACCAAGGCGCACGGAACGCTGTTCCCTTCCCACCGAAGTAGTCCCTATTTATCTACTTGCAATGTCTTGCTTTCGAACTGCTAGGTTGGCAGGAGCTGGAACTAGAGACGGGAGCTCACTCCGTCATGCGGCACCCGGGCCTCGAACTGCTGAACTACCGACTTTCCATAGCCTGCAGTTCAGCATCTTAACCACTTGAGCCACCGTAGCCTCTGTTTAAAAACCTCCAAAGAAGGCGAGCCCACCACCTCCCCAGGAAGCCTGTCCCACTGAGGAACCGTCTCTAACTGTCAGGAAGTTCTTCCCAATGTTTAGCTGAGAACACGTCTGATTTAATTTCAACCTCTTGGTTCTGGTCCGACCTTCTGGGGCAATGGAGATTGTGCAGAGTCAGGCCCATGAGTCCATGATCTCACCATGGTATTGACGGATCTTAGGCAGAGGTTCTTGACAACACCTGCTGGCTGCCCTCTGAAGGGAGATGAAAGGTAGGGGAACTTAGAACTTTCTGCGTGCAAATCATAAGCTTTACCAGTGGCTGCAGAGGAACCTATTAAGGGGCCAAAACGTTGTTCCTTTTTGTCCCCCTCCCCGATCTTCGTGAAAGAAAGTATGGGCCTTTCTCCCTACATACCCCAGAGAGCACTACGGTCAGGGGCCCAATATTGATTAATGATTCCAGGCCCCAGGGAGGCCAGGCTTGTGGCAACCAGGGCCTTCTTAGTGGCGGCTCCTACCTGGTGGAATGAGCTCCCGGAGGAGATCAGTTCCGCAGGGCCTGCAAGTCAGAGCTCTTCCGCCAGGCTTTCAATTAGGAGCTGCTGCCACCACCACCACCAACTACCCCATGGGAACATGGGGTATTGGGATAGCCCATTATGAGATCAAGCCACAGTGCTTCGACTGACCGTACTGCCAAATCCGGCTCGGAGCTTCATCTACAGGCTACCATCTTGCTCTGACTGAATGCTTTAATAACACCGCTGAGCACTTTATTTTGATAATGGTTGTTTTTATGTGTTCACGGTGTTTTACTGTTTTATATTGGCACACGGTGCCCTTTTTGTGAGCCGTCCTGAGCCCGTTCGCGGGGAGGGCGGGGTAGAAATAAAATAAATAAATAAATAAATAAGAAAGTTAAGAACATAAGAGACGCCAATGTTGGATCAGTCCAGCACTTTGTCACACAGTGGCCAAAAATACCAGGTGCCATCAGGAGGTCCACCAGTGGGGCCAGGACATTAGAAGCCCTCCCACTGTTAACCCCCGACCCCGAGTTCTTAGCTGCCACGCTAACAAAATAATTTCAGGATATAGAAAAGCCCTGACTTCGGAGTCTGTCTACTTTTCATGTGAGTCAGTGGAGCCAGCAAGTATTCCATTCAGTTCTGGGGTGGGGGGGTTGGGCAGAGGTCTTGTGATGGAAGACCGTGCACTGTTCCACCAGACTTCAGCCTTGGCCAGTCTTAAGTAAGTTTTCATCCATCTTTGTACCTTTGGTGGTAAATGTAAAACGGCGGCCCTCCTCTGTTGTTAACTGGCCAGGGTCCAATTCACCAACAGGTTCATTTTTGCCAACCAGAAATGGCTCTTTGTGATAACTGATCAATATAACGTGTGACTTCTTTCGGCTGTTGGCTGCGGTATAGAAATGCATTTCACCTCTGCAGGGCTTCCGAATTCCTCTTGAGTTCCAGTTTCAGAGGTACACGGTGGTAGCAGTAGCAAAGTAGGGAAGCAATACCCTTCCATTGGCTCTCTGAAGCCCCCAGAGCTGGTGTAGTGAAGTGACTAGGAAACTGAACAGTGATCCATTTAAAAGGTTCCTGGGTGAAAGGTCACTGTGCCACAAATTCACTAGGAAGCCTTAGACCAGTGATGGCGAACCTTTTAGAGACCGAGTGTGGAGGCCCCAGCAAGATTTGAACTCGCGACCCCTGGTTTACAAGACCAGTGCAGAAGAAAGTATCAGCACCAAGAAGCAACGCATTCTTAGTGCTGATACTTCTGCCGAGCTGGAAGAAACGGGGCGTGTTCTCTCCACTGGTGACGGTATCGCCCGTGTGTATGGCCTGCGGAATGTTCAGGTGGAAGAAATGGTTGAGTTTTCTTCTGGGCTGAAGGGTATGTCCCTGAACTTGGAACCTGACACCGAGTGCCCAAACTGCGACCCAAAACCCACTTATTTTTCGCAAAGTGCCAACACAGCAATTTTACCTGAATACTGAGGTTTTACTTTAGAAAAAACAACTCATACATTAACTTAAGATGATCCAAACAAAGGAAGGAAAGCAATCCCAAATGCTTTCATTTACTTAAAATTATTTGGCAGAGAATTCGACACTTTAATGATGGTCTGGGCCTGGCTGGGGCGATGGCACGCGTGCCCACAGGGCTCTGAGTGCCACCTCTGGCACCCGTGCCATAGGTTCGCCACCACTGCCTTAACTATGTGTACTTTCTCGACCCTCCCTCTACAGCACAGAGATAGTGTTGTCTTACCTAACAGGGCTGTTTGGAATGTTATTCGAAGTAGGACATAAAACGCAAACGATTGTCCCCCCCCCCCCCATTACCATTTGAGGCTCACTCAGATATTCTCATTTTCACAAAAATTTCTATTGCAAAATCTCCTATGACTGTTTGCTGGTGGGTAGCCTCTTCCTTAAATGGCATCCAAGTTTCTTGCGGGTCAGAAAGCACACACAAAGCAAACTTTAAATGATCTTGGAGAGCAACACTGTATACATGTAAGTCCTTTATGGTCTCTAGGATAAAATTTGAGTCCACAGGCACTTTTAAGACCAACAAAGTTTAATTAAATGTAATGCTTTTGTGTATATGCACACTTCTTCAGATACATTGAAACAGACTTTACCAACCATTACATATAGGCGGGGGGGGGGGTTACTTGCTTGTGGTTTTTACCTTCAACTGACCTCAGTCTAATTCCAGTGTTTAAGATCCAGTGGCCGCCTACCAGGTAACTTCTCTTTTGTTTGGGAAACTGGTTCTGCAGGCCTACTCTGCCGGGTTGACGTTCTTGTTAATTTCCCTGAAAGGCTGGGAGACTTTCCCTTTTGCTCCTAAGCTGTTGGGAGAGATAAAAAGAGCTGGTGGTAGCCTACTAAACTAGTGTGGGGGTAGCCACACACTGGGGTTTTTTGTAATTGTGTGGTGCTGCCGCCACCCATCTACCCAAAGGTCCTTAGCCCAGGCTGGGTGAGGAATCTTTGGCAAATATATGGATCAGGGTTTTTTTTTTCTTGAATATTATGATTCCCCTGCAATGTTAAAATAATCTATATTGTTTTGTCTATGTAATATCTTTACACGCCTGTAGCACATCAATTTAGTCTCCAGTTTCATGCCAGCCTCCAGGTGGGACCTGGGGATCCCTTGGAATTACAGCTCATCTCCATACTAAAGAGATCAGTTCCCCTGGAGAAAATGGATGCTGTGGAGGGTGGGACTCCCTGGCACTGCACCCCACTGAGGCCCCTGTTATCCCCAGGCTCCAGCCCCACATCTCCAGGACCTTCCCAACCTGGAGCTGGCAACCCGACCCCCCCCCCATCCCTCACCAGTGGCCAGGGGGGACCTGGCAGCCTTATTTCTCCCACTTTTTTCGTGAGTGTGCATTTGGTGTGGTTTGCAATGAAAAGCCATACTCCTTTTCCTTGATATTAGCAAACTAGTGCAAGATAGTTGCTAAAACAATAACCCAAAATACCACTGGGGGACTACTGGTACCTTTGATTATCCCTCCCCAAGAACCACCTTCTAGACTCTCCGTGAGCGTATGAGTCTCGAATATATCTATATAGCAGCTCAGTGTCTGGAAATCCGCGTTTGACCCCTAGAGCCTCCTGCATCCCGGCAGGCAAAAGATAAATCTGCTACCAGTCTCTTAGAGCGATGCATTAAGGTAATTGTTCCCAGAAATATGTTAATGCTAGCAAAATTCAGGTTGTGTGTTCGTGGAGCACTGAATGTTCCTTCCTGCTTTGGGTTGTGTGTGCCCTCCCCCTGCAGGTGTTGGCACAACACACTGTTCTCTGCCTTTGCAGAACAAAAACCAGTCCTTGGGCCTTCAAACAAAAGCCATCTCCTTTGCCGGAATGCCATCTGGTGTCCAAATGGAGATGACCTTGAAGTGTAGAGGTCCGGATGGGGATTTTGCAGGACTTCTTTGGAATGGGTGGACAGATGTCAAAGGAGAGCATGGCAGGTGGACCGAGGGGACAGAGATGGAAGGACAATCTGGAAAGGTGGACAAGTTTGAAATGAAAGTCTTCAGGCTGACCGTCCTGTTCAGGCAAATATTGGGCATCAGCATCTCCCTCCTGAAGAGGTTTCTGTTATCTTTGAAGGTAAAGGTAAAGGTTCCCTTGCTCAAAAGCCAGTCGAATCCGACTCTAGGGTTGCGGTGCTCATCTCCGTTTCAAA